TTCACACTGGTCAGAATGGCTCCTGGCATGTAGTATCTGCTCAGCCAGCTGATACGTGAGTAAAGGAATTAAAGCTGTAGCCCTGTTTCAGGGAACGTTTGTTTGTAGTGTAGTGAGCTACATTACACACCATTCAGAGATACATTTTAAGGTAAGAAAATTCATTCACTATTTTTGTAATATTTTTACATTTAAATATAAATGTCTGCTGGAAGTATAAAATTTTCTTTGGATAATTATCATAAAACTCTTAAAATATTAAGGAGCTGTGGTTTCATCGCCAGTCACTAGAGTGCGCTGTAACATCAGGGCTCTTACATAGCTGCGTTCTGAATAGCCGCAGCTATCTCAGATTCTGAGAAAAGAAACATAACTCGAGTTTCAGTTTTTATTTAACCATAGAAGATATGTAATCTTTTTTTAAGAAGGAAATATATGTATAAAATATTGTAAAATAAATATTAATTCAGCAAATTATGGGTCCCTGATACTGGCCTCTGCTGGATGTATACTACATATAAACGTAGAATATAATTGAATGTCTTTGAAATCCAGTTGGTGGTAGATAAGCTTGTATGGAAGCTAAATGACAGAACAAGAATGAAATTATAACACAGAATAACAGCATTGAAGAGGTCGCAGAGTAACAGGATTAAACGCCTAACGCATTTAATGATGTGCAGAGGAGGAGACCTCATTGAGGAAGAAGGGCTTGAGCTGTTTCAGTGCATAAAGTTCTAACTAGTTCAGCATCATGTTTATGGCCAGGTGAATAACAGTAGAAAAAATAGGTCATTTAATTATTAATCCTTTCCATCGTCACAAGCTTTTGAACGCAGGATGGGATTTTTCAAAGAAGTAAGAGAGGAGACTGGGCAGTGCCAACAGAGCAGATAGTGGGGAGTTAAGGAGACAGGAGCACTGGGGTCCTCCAGGAGTTAGGGTGGCAGGACTGTAGGGCCATCTCAGGAAATTCCACAAATTCCACATTCTTATTTTAACTGTACAAAAATGTGTTTTTTCCAAAGCTAGGGCAAGAGTGACCAGGTCATTTGAAGATATTGAGTGTAGAAGGGGGATTTGTGCAAGGTTTATTTGTTTATTGTTACTGCATGTTCTTTTTTTATTTTAATGTGTTTCCTTTCACTTAAATGCCCCTGTGTGTAATTCTGTATGGAAAATGTGAGCTTGTATTTCTAATTAGTGAGAAAAACCACTTATGTGACACAAATCATTGTTATATGAGTTCTAATCTTACATGAAAATTTTTAAATAAGCTATTGCAAATTTGTTTTTAAAAGGTCAACTATATGAATAAAAATTAATTTAGTCATCTTTACATCTAAATTTGACAATATTAATGTTGTTCAGCGTGAATCAAAGTTTTTTTTTTTTGTTTAGTTTTGTTTTTTTTTTTTGACGGAGCCTCAAGCTGTCCCCCTGGGTAGAGTGCCGTGGCATTACAGCTCACAGCAACCTCCAACTCCTGGGCTCAAGCAAGTCTCCTGCCTCCGCCTCCCAAGTAGCTGGGACCACAGGCGCCCGCCACAACGCCCAGCTATTTTTTTTGGTTGCAGCCGTCGTCGTTTTGGCGGGTCCGGGCTGGGGATTCGAACCCGCCACCTTAGGGGTACGCGGCTGGCGCCTTAGCCGGTTGAGCTATAGGCGCCGAGCCTAGTTTTGTTTTTTTAACAGAAGTCTTTAAAGAAGTTTTTGGTTAATATTTTCATGAAGGCAAAATTTTATCCAGATTCTCCTGAGATGTCTTTTCCTGTGTTGCTAATATCTAAACTTTAACAATGCTGTATTTGTTATTTAAAAACTTAGCATGTTTTTGTATGTTTTTAATCATAGGTCTATTTTATTTAAGAAATTTGCTTTGTTTTAAGATGAAATTTTAACTCTAGGTTGTTAGGATGAGTTTATAATAAATGAAATTGTCTATAGAGAAACCATTAATGGAAAGAATTTTGGAGTTATATTCTTACAGGACAGACGTATTTTGGTCTCACATCACAGCCCTTTCTGAGCCTGTCTGTGTTTCAGTTTCATCAGAGGAGAAATTAGAGTAGTTACACCTACCATGCAGGTGTATGTGAGCTTCTGTCTTGTAGTGTGTGTGAAAGTGGGAATAAATTGTAAAACGTTAGATAACGTAAGTTGTTAAACTGCTTCATTTTGATTTAATAAAACCTATCTGTATAAGACGCTTTTGTCCCAATACTCAGTTTTGTTAACCAGTGACATTATTTCTGAACACTGGGCATTACAAGGATTAAATGAGATCGTATTCTTATCACTCAGCAATTAAATAATTGGTTCCACAATATTTTTGCATTTCTTTGAAAGTCCCTTCGGTTGGTTTTAGAACAGGAGGGTGATTTTAGAGCACCGTTGGAGTCCTTGCCCATGTTTGCCCTGTGTTGTGTCTTAATACTTAGAAGGCTTCTAATCTGCGCCTGGACTGATGTTAAAAACCGCCAGGAGGCTTAACCAACAAGTTTATATGGAGCCTCTGTCTCGGGTAACTGTTCAGTCAGAATGTGGAATTGTTTCTCTTCATTTCCCTGCCATTCTGGTGTAGTTTATCCCAAGAGTTTTCTAGTTCACCTCCCTGACTTCCTTTTTCTCCTGGGTTGAGGTCAGCCTCTACTTCACTCTGGGGATTTCTCTTATTCTGGGTGTTAGGTCAGGTAAAGATTCAACGGGTTCTGAGTCATAGAGTGTCATTAAAACTTAGAACCCGGCTGGGAATGGTAGCTCAGCCTGTAACCTTAGCACTCTGGGAGACCGAGGCGGGCAGATCACTTGAGCTCAAGAGTTCAAGACCAGCCTGAGCAAGAGTGAGACCCTCATCTCTACTACATAGGAAAAAGTAGCCAGGTGTTGCCGTGGGCGCCTGTAGTCCCAGCTATTTGGGAGGCTGAGACAGGAAGATCGCTTGAGTGCAAGCTTTGAGGTTGCTGTGAGCTATTATGACTCCATGCCACTCTACCCAGGGTGACAGAGTTGGACTCTCTAAAAAAATCCTTAGAACTCTATACCTAGACCTATTCTCACCTTATTTCATATTTTACTAAAAACAGTACCTGGATCTGGAAGAAGTTATCAGTAATTTAAAGAAATAAGGAACTTTAAAAAAAAGCCAAAATTCAGCTTTTCTTTATCCCATATTAAAAAAAAAAAAAAAACCTTTGAATTTCTGTTTCAATCATTTATTCTCTAATTACTTTTTCATAAACAACTATAGTCCAAGAATTCTGTTGAACATTGAGATACAGAGAGGCGTGAGATGGAGTCCTGTGCCCTGAGAGACAGGCTAATAGTTAAGACAGTTGTATAAACTATAATAACAGTGTGCGATGTTTCATAATAGTGATTGAAGTTCTGTAGGAGGAGAGAGGTGATACTTGAGCCAGTTCTGAAAGTTGAAATGGCACGTATTTCAGACTAACGGGGAATAGTAAAAATAAAGGCAGCTATTTATAATGGAAAAACCCTGTGCCCTGAGTCAGAAGACCTGGATAGTTGTTACCTTTCTGCTATTATCTCATCTGAATCTGGCAGATTATGTAATACTGTTTGAGTTTGTTTCCTCATCTGTATGATGGAAATAACACATGCTTTTTTCACAGGGTATTTCAAAGAGTAAATGTCATAATGTAGACGAGTTCCTAGGCTCTCAGTGAGTTTGTTCCCCTGTGTCAGGTCTCCACGTTTCCTCTCTCCGTATTTTATAATCTGCCCCTACTGTTTCTGTGTAACTGCCTTGTCATTTTAAATCTGCTCCTTACCTGGATCTAGTCATTCTCTGCTTATTGAACAGCACAGCTGCCTTTACTTAGGTCACCAGAGTCCAGGTAGAGGAGCCGCCAGACACCGGTCCCCTGCCTGGCTCTGCAGCACTGATGCACAGACACTGTCCTCCCAGCACCTGGATTTCCTCTCGGAATCCAAGGAACTCCGTACCTGTTAGTGTAGATGTTCATTACAGCGCTCACCTGTTCTGTCATTACTTTTAAGTACTTTAAGAAGTCTCTTGTACCAGAATATTTTGGGGCGGGGGGCAGTTTTAATCCTCCTGACTCTTAGCACCTGCTGTGCACGCCCAGTGACCTAGCGTGAGCCCAGTGACCGAGCGTGAGGGCGTCTGCAGCCAGCAGTGGGGCGCCACTTGCTGTTCCTTTGTTAATCCCGAGTGGGCTTCAGTTTGCTCACTTCACAAAGAGGGCGTTGGATTAGTCTAGTCTCTGGAGAGAGGTACATAAACGGAGAAAGTTAGCAATGTAAATAGCCCTAAAATCCCACCATCAGCACAGCCTGCATTGTCTTCTGAAATCCCCCTTATTAGCACGCCCCTCCCTCATCACACCCCCTCCTCACCCCCTTCCTCTCCTCACCCCCTCCCTCTCCTCACCCCTTCCCTCATCACACCCCCTCCTCACCCCTGCCCCCTCCTCACCCCTCCCTCTCCTCACCCCTCCCTCTCACCTCCTTCTCTCTCCTCACCCCCTCTCTCTCACCTCCCTCCCTCTCCTTACCCCACTCCTTCTCAGGCTTCCTTATCCTCATGTGACCAAGCACTGGGACTTTTGTAGTCCTTAAGCTTAGTGTAACTTAGTCATTGTCTTAAATTTGTTTGCAGTGTTTTATATGTCCTCATCTAGCTTGTTTTGTCCTATCTAAAATCCTCAACTTACCAATGTGTATTAGTTGCCTACAAAATCTGGCTATTAATTTTCTGCATATTTGGTTTATCTTGTATATTATATATTATTAGATAAACCATGTTTTGCAAGATCTTCCTCTATGGTGTTTTATACAGAAGACTGTGCAAATATCTATAGGTTATTTTGTTCATCTATAACTTTAAGGGTCAGCTTGATGGGGCTCATTGTGTCCTGAGTCCGGAGCTTGTGTGCCTCCTCTGGACCTGTGAACAAGCAGTTTTCTGACAGTAACAGGAGTTTTAATCCCCACCTTTGATGCTTACTTTGCAGATGCTCTGGCCACGGCATCCCAGGACCAGAAGGCAGCCACATTTCAGACTCACCACTTCTAGACAGTCCCAAGTAAGATTACGGGATTAATTGTGGGCCTCCAAAACTAGCTTGTTATTTAACATTAAAAGAGAACGTCTAGAATAGAGACTACTGTGAGGCGGGGTGGGCTGTATTGCCTGACTACTCTCTGTCCCGTAGTTTGAGTTACCCTTCTGTTCAGTTACCTTACTTCTGGTGTGTCCCCATTTTCTGGCATTTTCCAAAATTTTCTGTTTAACACTGATCTAAATAAAATATTATTTCTCCTTTTTGCTATTTCTTACCTCATCATTCAGTAGTCTCTGCAAAAGCTGCTAGCTCCCCTTATATTGTAGGTCACTGGGTGGGGCGGAGGTGGCTTTATGAAAGAATAGCATTGCTAAAGAGTATTTCAGAGGAAATTTTGCATGCAGAAGTTTACAGAGGTGAGTGAGCTCATTATTACTCTCAGTCCCTGGCAGTGTTCCTCAGTGATGGCTCCCTCCATGGCAGCCCCGGTCACATTTGCCTCGATCGTGGAAGAGGAGCTACAGCAGGAGGCAGCTCTGATCAGAAGTCGGGAAAAGCCCTTGGCTCTGATTCAGGTAACTAGCACACCTATTACAGTTAGATTCAGGGAAAACTATGCTACGTTTCATCCTTAGATTTTAGGAAAATCGTGTCATGTTAGCTTTGGATAGGAGATTCTGTCTACCAAATAAAAATATAAATGGCATGTAAAAATAAAGTGAGGGATCTAGCAATTTAAATATTAATTGAAGGTATTCAGGATAATTTGTGACTAATATATTAAAGCTTGTATTTTTAACCTTGGTGATATTTGGACTGTTTTAGATTTTAAAAGTGACTAGTAAAAAACTTGGCAACCTCTCGCACTTTATGTAGTTTTTGTATTAGTCAGATCTAAGATTGTAAGCAACAGATACCAACTCTGGCTAACCAAAGGAAAAGAGAATTTATATGAGGCATGTGAAGTTCTACAGACTTAGCTAAGAGATCAGAGAACCAGGTCTGGACCCCAGTGGCACTAGCTGGCTTGGCATCAGGACTCAGAGCACCTGAGCAACACGGGACTGTCCTGCAGAGCGAGAGCCGCAGTGACACACCCTTGCAGCCATCACAGCCATCATCAATTTCTTTTCCTTCTCAAGATTCAAATTCAAGAGAGGATGGTTATCTCATTATTCAAGTTCAGGCCTCAAGCTTTCTCCTGGCTAAGGAAATAGGAGGATACCTGATTTAATTATATCCATGGAAAGTGGTAATTCCTCAAAAGGAAATTGGAAAACTGCTTCATTTATAAGTTAAAAAGTAAAGAAGTCTCCTTTTCTCCCTCTTTTTCAGATTGAGGAACGTGCAATACAAGATTTATTGGTTTTCTATGAAGCATTTGGCAACCCTGATGAGTTTGTCATTGTTGAAAGGACACCACAGGGACCACTGGCAGTACCTATGTGGAATAAGCATGGATGCTAGCTCATCATGGAGTTGAGATGCATTTTCCACAGTTATGGTTTCTGTAGTATAAAGAAATAGCTGTGGAAAGAGTTCTTACAGATTTGGTAATGGATCATCCTAGAATAAGAAGGGTTTGATTTCTTTAATATAGTTTACACATATAATGCTTGTATGATTAAAAGATTTTTAGAATTGTGATTTTAGTAACTTTTACATAAAAACGTGTGAGAGGAAAAACTTACTAAGCTGAGGCTAAATAGAATCGATTCTTCTGAATAATCTTAGAAAGGAAAATAGGAGTGATTGCGTTATAAAATTATGGGCAATGTATTAAAAATAAACTTGAGAATTTAGAAGATTTTGCCAATATTGTTGTCACTCTGCTTTTTAAATATGGTATTGATGAGTTTAAAGTAGGAGCATCAGTCATCACTTCTGATCTGTCAATGGCCAGAGTTCTGTGTTTGCTGCAGTAGCTCTCTCTCCATTTTTGTTGCCTTTTTCATCAGGCTATGAATGTATTTGAGGTCTGCTTGAAGCTGGCCCTGCTCAAATACAATATTTCAATTTGGATGTCACATTCTCCAGTTTGCACTAAGCAATAGAGTACAGTAGAGAGGGAATAAGGACACTGATTATTCTGGACTAAGGAGTCCAAGATAATAGTTTCTTTTTAAGATTTAGAGTCCTTGTGGATTGTTTTTAGGCAGGGAGGGAGAACCTTATAAAAGCCTAATTTTATGAGAATCAATTTCTCAGTGTTAAGTTTTCTAAAATAAAGGCTTAATTATAGATACAAGAACAGAATAGTTTGGAAGATGGTTGTTACATTTGCAGCATTATATAATCCTAAGTTATCTGAGCCTGGGTTATACATAGCACAAAAATTATTTGTTTTTCTTAGATACAAAGTGTGATGTTTGGTTTGTTTTTGAGGATTTAAATTTTCAGAAAACAAATGTTATATATGTGCTCCAGTACATAGACAAATTGGGAAGGTTAAGGTTCTGGTTTCTGGAAGATTAACTAAGAGGAAAATACAGGCAATTCATGGCTATAATTCAGTGGATGGGACGATGACTGAATTTAACTCATTATGTAAGATTTAGCTCTACCCAGAAGTAGCAGATGTGTAAGCAAACATGCAATAAAAAATAACTTGGATCCATTTTACTGCCAAGGTGCTTGATACCTGTACTGTGTTGACATCTATTATAGGAAGAATCAATGTGCTGCGCTAATACATTTATGGTGATGCTGCCTTCATTCTATGACTGCTTATAAAAGGGAAGTTTTCCAAATTTGAATCTATGAATCTATTTTATATTATGTGTTTGAATAAATTGAGAAGAAATTAATTTTAAGATGTTTTATTGATGTTGTAGTAAAGAGACCTTCTGAAGTAATTGGTTTATTTCATTTGGAGCGTTGATTCTTCTGCTCATACTGGCATCTGTAGTATTTGAAGATGGTATGAAGTGATAATGTCCTGCTGGGAAGCACCCTGAGGGGTCTTGGTTGCATGGGTGCGAGGAGGGGCTGCCCTGCTGGGCTTTGCTCATCTGCATCTGCAGCCAGAGCAGCTGTGCATTATGGTCTGTTTTATGCACGTGTATTGAGGTGTTGTATAAAATTTCACTGGGCAAAAAAGGAGTTATTTGGCTGGTAAAGAGAAAGATAAGCCCTGCAGTACACTGTATTTCTTCATAAATTGTTCTATGAAAATAGCAACCTGACACATTCTACCAAAAACCCCAGGAAAGGAATGTTTTCTTTAAATTAGCAATAACATTATCCTACCTGTGGTCATTTATTCTTCTCTAATCTCGTAACTTCAAGAAAGATCCAGTTGAATTGAAGCAAAACTAAAAACGGCCAATTTTAAAGGTCAATGGTATAGGGAAGTCTTTAAGATGAACCAAACAGTCATAGAACTCTTAAGCCTGGAAAGGTGATGGTTGGGTTAGGGTATAGGGATGAGGCAGAATAGACTTAAAATTTGCAAAATTTTGAAGGGTGCTAGGCAGGTAAAATCAATTTAGGACTTTTCTTCAAATCCCAAAGAGCTTTCTAAAATTAAGAAAAAACCCTGCTTTCCACAGGAACAATAGCATGCATCAATTGGAAGAGATACTGCAATTGGAAAGGATATCTGAGTTGGAGGCTTGAGTATCTATATTGGTTCATGATAAGAGCACTGATAGCTGTTTCATAACATTTTAGATCTGAAGAAGCCTTATCGATTACGTATATCCTCTTCATTTTATAAATTAAATAAAGTGGACTTCAGAGAAAATGATTAATGAGAATGAAGTCTTCTCACTTTTTAATGTGGTTTCCTTATAACCACACCAGATTGCCTCTCTGAAATTACTAATTGTCTATAGCACTTTAGACATGCCTAAGAATATAAAAGGCCACTGAATAAAACTAAATATAACCCCCAAACTTCCATAGTTGGCAGTATAAGAGATATTTTCAGAAGTACAGCCTTTGACCAAGTAAGTGGTGACAAGTGATCCCAGACATTCACAGTCATGCCTATCTACTGTTATGCCCAAGATGATGCTCTGTTACGTAGGGTACCAACAGACTTGGTCATTCCTGTGCACCTAATTGTCAAATTATATCTCAGGCTTTATTATTTCATTTATTAGATGTCTCTTCTTGGTTGCCTGACCAGCTTTTAATTTGTGTTGAAACTAATTTCTTACCACCCCCAAACTCTCATCTTTTATTTACTTCTGTCTTAACCAGTCATTCTTGCAAGTCACCCTTGCTGAACTTTTGGATTCTTCTTTTTGCCTTTCCCCTTACCCCCTCGCTCATTTATTGGTTATCTAACTTCTGTCAGTTCTGTCTCTTTCTTACCTTCCATTTAATCTCTTCCATTTCATTTTTATTACCACTACTACTATGTCTTATTTCTTTCTGGAAATTCTCTAATTTGAGGGTGTCAGGATCCCTCTGAAAGTTTAAAAATGACTAAAATATTGAGGACTCCAAAGAGCTTTAATTTATATGTGCATTATATCTACATATATTTAATACATTCAAAGTTAAAACAAACTTTTAAAATCTAATTCATATTGATCTAATAAAAAATATAATGAACCATTACATGCTGATATGAATAACTTTTATGAGAAATAACTGCTTTATAAAACAAAATTAGTGCATGAGATATGTTGTATTAAAATGTCTTCATTGTATTGTTTTTTTTGACCAGTCTATGGTGTCCATCTTTTTATTTACTTTTGTTGGTTTGAAGCCTAAGGAATTTTCAAATAAGATGGCAATTCCTGCTTTTTTCTGATTTCCATTTGCCTGAAATACAGTTTTCCAACCCTTCACCTTAAGTCTTATTTTGTCCTTGGAAGTTAAATTTGTTTCCTGAAAACAGCATACTTGGTTTGTGCCCTTTTATCCAGTCAGCCAGCCTGTAGCTCTTTCATGGGCAATTCAAGCCATTCACATTTATTGAGAGAATTGATTAATAATAATATTATTATTGAGTAATATCTTTAATAACCTCAATTAAAAAGGAATAAAGAGAAATAACAGATATCACAGAGACACAAAAGATCATCACTGATTACTACAAAGAACTCTATGCCCATAAATTTGAAAAGATGGAGAAAATGGACCAACACCTAGAATCACATTATCTTCCTAAATTCAATCAGAAAGAATTAGAACTCTTGAATACACCAATAACAAGCACCAAAATTGCAATGATAATAAAAAAATTTTTCAATAGGACAGCACCTGTGGCTCAAGGAGTAGGGTGCTGGCCTCACATACCGGAGGTGACAGGTTCAAATCTGGCCTTGGCCAAAAACTGCAACAACAAAAATAAATAAAGTACATTTCTTTAAAAAAAATTTTTTTTTCAACAAAGAGAAGTCCAGGACCGACTCTTTTCAACAAAGAGAAGTCCGAATTATATCGGAATTCTACCAAACTTTTGAAGAAGAGCTTGTAACTATATTGCAGAACCTATCCCTAATATTGAGAAGGAAGGTACTTTCCCCAACTTCCTCCTACAAAGCAGACATCACCCTGATACCAAAACCAGAAAAGGATCCAACAAAAAGAGGAAACTATAGACCAATATCATTAATGAATGTTGATGCAAAAATAATAAAATCCTAGCAAACAGAATATAGCTACATGTTAAAAAGTTATACATCATGGTCAGGGGAGCTTTATCCCAGGGATGCAAGGCTGGGTCACCATACATAATCCTTACATGTAATTCATCACAAAAATAGAAGCAAAAACAAAGACCATATGATTCTCTTGATAGACACAGAAAAAGCATTGGCAAAATTCAGCATCCTTTTGTGATAAGAAAGAACGTTTAAGAAAATAGGCATAGATGGGACATTTCATAAGCTGCTAGAAGTCATCTACAACAGTCCTACAGCCAATATCATACTTAATGGAGTAAAATTGAAAACATTTACACTTAGAATGGAAACTAGACAAAGATATCCACTATTGCCACTACTATTCGACATAATTGTAGAAGTTCTGGCCAATGCAATCAGGCAGGAGAAGGAAATCAGGGGTATTCAAATGAGGACAGAGGAGGTCAAACTCTTGCTCTTTGCTAATGGTATGATCTTAGAAAATTGCAGGGACTCAACCACAAGACCATGAAATACAGTATCATCTTGGAATGTAAAGTCAGTGCCCCCAAATCAGTAGGCTTTGTGTACACCAATAACAGTTAAGCTGAGAATCAATTCAAAAACAGTACACTTGACTCTAGCTTCAAAGTAAAAGAGACACCTGGGAATACACCTAACAAAGGAAGTGAAGGATCTCTACAGGGAAAACGACAGAAACCCGGAGAAAAGAAGACATTAACAAATGGAATAACATACAATGTTCATGGCTGGGAAGAATCAACATTGTTAAAATGTCTGTACTACCCAAAGACTGTGTAGGGGGTTGTGCCCAGGGGACGCATGGAGCAAACCTCCTACAGTGTAGAGTTGCTGTACAGGCACTCTGATTTGGCTTCTCCTTTGGCTGAGATACAGAGCAGAGTTTCCCAGTTTGGGAATGCTACTCCCATCTCTCCCCATTGTCTCTGGCTGTCCTCAGGAATTTTTCTCTCTTCAGGCTCTCTCAATGTGTCCCCTGGGTTGAGGCAGGGACAGGTCTTCTGCTAGGGAACCCAAGATGATAGAGAAGCCAGTTGTTCACCTTTATCTCACTTTTTCCAGTGTGGTAACCATGAGGGAATATTTACATGGTCTGACAATTAAGCTTGTGAACTTGCCACCATGTATTTAAGTTGGCAGCACTGTACAAACGAATCAGTAAGGTTTCATAACTTTGTGTTCATGTTGATAA